GGACAAAGGTTGGACTTAATAATCTCGAGGGTCACTTCCAACCGAAACTGTTCTATGAATCTAATCATACCAGTTTCCTGGAACGGGCAAGTACAAGGATCATTTGCTTTTGGAATAGCAAATTGGGAAGGACTGGTAAAACTACCCTTCTCACTTGGTGCCTGTAACACAAGGGGAGTGTAAAAGCCAGCTAAACCCTATCATTGCAAACTGTTTAGGCTTAGAAGAAGGTGGCTAGGCTGATAGGGTTCTGTCTAACCTTTGTGGGGTGGGAGGAAAATGCTTTGGCTTACTGTCTGGAGCTTTAATGCTCCCCTGTGATCAGTCCTGGAAGGGGGTGAGATCCGCAGGAGTGGGCAGTACAGTAGTCCTGGGCTGCTGTTGAGCTGTTCCCATGGTTCCTCATTGGGGTAGGCAGTGCTGTTTGCACTAGTGGTATTAATTACAAATGTGAGTGTGCTTTACAGCAGGAGGCAGAGTATCCAGGCTTACCTCTTAATAATATTCCCAAAGTGACATTTGGAGTGCTATTTTTTGCTGTTGCACTGATAAATCAGTGTGCAATGCTGCTCTTTTTCTATTTTCTGACACCACTTCTCTGCTATTCTTAGCAACTAAAGCTATTTCTGAATGACTAGCTTTGGGAAGCAGACTTGTTTTCTCCCTGCCTATGAAATCAAGTCTGGCTGCATTGACCCAGGACCAGCAAGCACAAGGCTATCAGTCAGATAAGAAAAGCAGTGGCCGCTTTCCGCAGCTAACTCTCCTAGTCAAAGCCCTCAATAGCAAAACGAGCTGGGATGGGGGTAGCTTTGGTCAGCACCGTTACCAGCCTTCCTGTGCGCTGTTATTTCAGGTCACTACAGAAGCTAACATACTTGGGGATTTTAGTCAGCTCAAGGAATTCAGCTTTTGCAAGGAGTGGTCTTTTTACTGGCTTCTTGTGTATACTGGTGTGTGTGGTTTGACTCTCATAGCTCATGCTCAGACAGTCTGCTGACCTCAAGTCCTTTCTGACTATAGCAGTATTGTACATTGCCCTGGTGGTGTTTACTACTAAATTATCCGTTACTTCAACATAAAACCTTCAGGCCTCCATCAGCAGTGGCAGGCTGAGGAAGCCAGAGCTGGGGGAAGGTCTGAAGGGTGCTCAGCAGACCACGCTGCATACTGATGCAGTGCTCTAGCCCATTTGGGAAATTAAAAAAAATAAGTGGTGTTACTTAATGGCACACCAGGCTTCTCTGATGTGGGCTCACATCATAAAGAGGCCCCGTTATTGTGGTTTTCTGCTTTACTGTTAGCAAAAGGACAGTAAAACCTTACAACCTGATGCCAAGACCTCCTTGTACCGTGTCACAGCATACCAAATTGCCACTTTCAGCCATGAGAATTACAGTGAGCAGCTCTGCAGGAGCATGGTTGTGGGGAGCCTGAATTTGTGCATTCTGTATGATTTTACTGATTACTAAGAAATTGGTTTGCCTCTTTCTGGTGCTGAATATGCACGAAAAGATACATGAAAATCTGTCCGTTTAAGGCAAGTTAAGGGTGTCCAATGAAAGATAACCTCCTCACCTAGCTGTTTGGAGTTGTCTTCATTACTTCTGTGCTCTGGTAATGACCCTTCTGGTGGCTGAACCATCTGAGAGACTGAGGTTTTCCTTCAAATTGCATAGTGAGATAGAGGTGGAAGTATGGAATTGTGGAGATGTCCACAATGAATGTGGCTTAAGGGCGTCAAGATAGCATTGCCTTGAGTAGATGGCCAGAAGCAGCTAGGTGAGTGGTGCTTTCCCTGGTGTAAACTTAGGAGGAGTTAGTGACAGTTGGCAGAATACACTAGCATTTTGATTCATTTAATTTTCATTCTAAGCAGTGTAGGACAGGTTCCTTTCAGCTCTCAGCTGATGGGAAGACCCATTGAACAGATCACAGATGGTGAGATGTTCCTGCCTCTTCAGTGTGCCCAAGTGTCATGGAGTTGCAGATGAATCCTAAAGGTGGAGAAATCTTCGGATTGCTTGGCAGTGTTTCCTCATGTGGTGGCTCCCACCACCCCTGCTCAGCTATAACGCAACTGGAAAATTTGGGGAGATGTTCACACGACTCCTGGGAGAGGAGGAATCCAATTAGACTTGGGCAGAAGTCCCTGTTCCCACACAGGTGGCTGCAGGAAATTCTTGATTCAGATTCAGGCTGTGCATCCCTTGTGACACCCAACATCTGGGAACTGCTGGAGGCTGAACTCAACTCAGAGGAGGGCCAAATCTCCAACTCACCTGGGCAAACCCAGCGGCTAGCCACTGCCCAAGACCATAAGGGAAAAAGCTTATATCGAGTCTTTTTGCCCCTTATAACCTACATATTCTTTATTAATTTTTTTCTTTCAAAGAAAATGCGATGTTGCTTATACAAATCTCTTCCAAGAGGCCCATTCAGTACAGGAGATGGAAGGCTTGGCGTTTTGGTTTTTAGTGTAAACTGACTTAGCTTTGTCCTTCACTAATTTCTTGTTGGGCTTTGGGGCAACTGCAGTTACACAAGACCTTGAAGGATTGCTTTAACTCCATCAGAAGGATGAGTAAGTGTTGAAGAGGTGTAGTGTTAAAGGGATTATATACTGGGAACGAACCAAGTGTGTGCACTACCGGCTTGTAATGTGCCTCTGCTCACACATGCTGTTCTTCCCCGTTCTCAGGTTGGGGGTGGGATTGGATCACAGTAACCACTTGCTCTTCAAAAATGCTTGTTAGCTGTTCAGCATGCTTGGAAGTCTCCCTACTGAAGGCAGAAGCAGAAAGGACGACTAATATTAGTCCTATTAGGGATCTAAAGCTTTTAATGCAAAGGAGCTTTCAACCCTTTCTGTCGCTGCCTGGTAACTAAGTCGTTCCGCAGTCCTTATGCTACATCTTTTTCTCTTGGCACTGAAGTTGGGAGCAGCTTATACTCTGTTGCTAAAGCTTTCCCCTCAGGAACTGAATAAGGATGAGAATAGTGGCTACTCCGAATCAGGAGCTGCAATCCTTGCAAAAGAGCCCTTAAACACCTTGTCAGGACACTAATTCCCGTGGCATTTCTGTGCAGTTACCTGTTGGCTGCATCAGCAGTAATAAAAGCTAGAAATAATTTTGTCAGTTACTGCTGGCAACAGGATACAGAATAGATTTTAGGTTATCTAAAATATTAGTATCTCTGGATTTAAAGAATAAGTACCTTATAATGAGATCTTCAGGCACTGCAGTCAGTCTTTTTTTTTTCCGCTCTCCTTGTTATAAAATTCCGTGGCAAGTGAATGTAAAAGGTAGCCAGACTGCATATGATGAGAAATTTTGGAAGCTGTATAATGAGCATTTCTAGACTAGTAATGAGCATGCCTGCTAACTCAGAGAAAAGGGAATTATTGGTAGGAGGGAGGAATTAGTTTTAAGTTGAGGTCTTTAATTAGAAAAGAGTTGAGGAGCTTGGTGTTGATCAGTAGAAGGTGGTTAATCCAGATCTGTGGAGGGTGGTTGAGTTGGCGCTGGTTAGAGTGAGGGCTCAAGGGTTTTATCAGTGTTAGGTCTCTGAGGACATCTGAATTATTTTTTTTCCCTGTGTTTACATGTAGTTCTTCAGGCCCAATGGGATGAAAATCATCTCTAGGGTTTTTTCTGTGTGGGGAAATCATTATTTTCAGTGCTGTAGTCCATGTAGTACTCGTGGCTCACTGTTTTGGAGGGGTGTGTGATTCTCAAGGTGGACAGATTTCACACCTTGAAGATTCCCTTTGCTGAGCTGAAAACCATGCACAATGCATGGGAAGTCCTTTTGCTCAAAGCGTGTGCTGAAGAGCCACTTGCCCTAACATACTGCCTTGTACATGGTCAGATCAGCTGCTAGGATAAGCTTTTAACTGGCTGCTGCTCGTGAGCCACCTCTTGCTGTATTTCCCCATGCTGGGGATCTGAAGCTGGAGAATGAAGGTGGCTAATGTTTCTCTCTTCTTCTTGTTCCTTCTGCCCACAGCACTGATGCAGGAGACAGCCCTGTGGGCACAACAGTGCTGGGGATCTGAAGCTGGAGGCTGAAGGTGGCTAATGTTTCTCTCTTCTGCTTCTTGTTCCTTCCGCCCACAGCGCTGATGCAGGAGACAGCCCTGTGGGCACAACAGCCACTACAAACCTGGAGCAGCCGCAGGTCATTCCATCGCAGGGCGACCTTCTGGGTGACCTCCTCAACCTGGACTTGGGACCCCCAGTGAACGTTCCCCAAGTGTCCTCCATGCAGATGGGTGCTGTGGACCTCCTGGGAGGAGGGCTGGACAGCCTGGTAAGTGGCATCCTCTTTCGCTTCAGCTGATGTGAAATGATTGGAGCTGTGCTTATCTCTGCAAAGCCTTGATCGTTTGTGCTTGTAACGCTTGGATCACTGAACTCCCAGTGCTGAGTCCTAAAACTCCAAGAGGATTTAACCAGTGCTATTGTACCAACTTTCAGCAGGCTTTTCCTGCTATAAAACGAATGTTGCTGCATGCTGTAGTATCCCCATGGTCAGCGGATATATTTGTTCTGTGCTTTTCTGTCTATAGAAGAAAACCAAAGAGCTGTTTTAAGGATATAAAGTGTTCCACTGCTTTGTAATTGACTCTGTCTCCCTTTCAAGAAGGTGTTTGTTCCACCCGGTTCCCAACCCTACCGGATTTCAGTGCAGAACTCTCAGGGCTGCAGGCCATAGCCCCGTGTCATCCCATTTGTATATTCTCCAGAGCATGTCATGGTTTAGTATGTGTGATAGTTTAATTGCAGTGAGGTCAAGAGGGAAGCACTCCGCACAGTCCTCCCCGTGCTGCAACTGCTCATGAGGGGTTATTCTAGTACTAACGGGGCCAGGCTCCAAAGTACGAGTAATCGCACGATACTGCTGCTCTGGGGTGTGAGCTGGGCCTGAGCAAGGAGACGGCAGCAGTGGAGAGGAGCTCGGTGCTGTGGTCTTACGCTGGAGGCAACCAGCCATTGAGAAGTGGTGAATGTTGTCATCAGCCTGGGAGTTGTTCCTGTGGGGTGGACAGGGCACAGCTCATGGCGTGCGCAGCACACAGATCCCTGACACCCTGATGACTCGCCTACACAGATAAGCAGTGGTCTGGGTCTATGTGCACCATGGAACTGGAGTGAGACTACTCCAGTGAACATAGTTGGGCGTTTTTCAGACCTAACGGTCAATCGATCTCACTTTGGTTTGAGGTGTGGCTTGCAGCGAGCTGGGTTGGGTTATCAGTGTGCCTGGTTTAGGTGTGCTTGCAGTTCTGAGTCAAGCTCTGAATAATAGAGGTAGGAGGCAGCTGGATGAACCCCAATGCAACAAATCCTTATTTGTCAAAGATTTTTTTTTTAAGCTGTCATAATCTCACTAAAGCAGACATTAAATGCATTTCCAGCTCCAGTGCTTCATGAGCTAATGAACTGGAAACAACCTAACCCTTAATGGCAGTGGCGTTCACAGAGGTCAGATGTGCTTTAGTCTCTGTGCCATCTAGACAGCAGTTTACTTCTTTAGCAGCGAGACTGCTTTTATGCTGGGGAGATAGGGAAATGGCTTAAACTGGAGTGCTGGGAAAGCAGGCAGTGAGCCCAGAGCAGTGACCTTCGCAGCCTTTGTCCTGCATTGCAAGACATGTCACTAAGAAACTGGGATTTTTAATTGTGTTATAGCATTGCAGAAAATGGCTCAAAATGGTTAGGAGTTAAATTCCTCTGTCTGTACTTCCAGGCCATTTACAGTGACCCTTTTTTTTCTCATTAGTGTCAGAGACAAATGAATGGACACAGCAGGAAAACTAAAACTTGGTTTGGGGAGAAGAGTTGTCTCACAGTTGGCATTAATGGGCTTAATTTAGTGACCCGCTTTGGCAGTAGAGCTGCTAGTTGATATGGTACTAGACTTTTACTTAATGTTTTTCTCAATCCTTAAGTAAATCCATGGGACAGTGCAGTGCGATCTAACAAAATGTTCATGTCTGGATGGGGAGTAGCTGTGCCTTGGGCTGTGTGGGCCAGCCCTGTCTCAGCTGAGTTACTAGATGGGGTGAGCACTCAAAAAAAAAAAAAAGTCATGGCTTTTTTTTTCCCCTGGAATGCTTTCTATTGAAGTACAGTTGTGTCAAATGTTTGTTCTGTCTTCTGATCCTTTGCATGTATAAGTGAATCTTTTCTTAGGAAATCTCTCTTATTTCTCTGGCTTTTCCTTCCCTAATAAGCTTAATGAGTGTGTGAGTGAATGTGGTCTGTGCCTTTGTTTATTGTTGTGGGCATGTGTTTAACAAGTATTGAGCTGAGTTAACCCTGACTTGGTATTAGCTAAATTGCTAGGCAGTGTCTCTTGGCTGCATGGCTAACCAAGGGGATTGGCATTTGGATCTTAGGCTAATACTAACCCACATTTGTGCAGCGACAAAAACACAGTCTCAAACTGCAGGTACCACATGTCTGGTTTCTGTAGGTGGTGAGGGGGTAAGATGCATCCCAAGGTGCCCCCTTGAAGAAGGGCTGAGCTCTTCACCCTTCCCCAGGGATCCAAAACCAGCCTGGAGCCACGGATGGCGGTCATTCAGGCTGCTCATGCAGTCAGTTAGTGGGGTTGGAGACTGAAATAAAATCTTCTTCCTCTGCCCTTGTCAGTGTATCAGGAGGCATTCTGGCTGTTGATGTGGCAATCCCTTCCTCTTTCTCCTCCACATACCTTATACACTCATTGTCTTTGTTATATTGCTGCCTGGTTCGTTCTGCTTTGAAGTTTCCCTCCCCATTACTCCTAAAGCCTTTTTTAATGCGTTTCTTCCCCTGCTTTGTTGGGAAGACTGAGGCTCCCATACTCTTCCATGAGGCATGGAGTGGTGGAGCAGTCCCTCTGTCCTCCTCAAACCAGCCAGAGCTGACTTCACTTTGGGCCTGTGTGCTGCCAGAGAGTAACCCTGTTCGGTTTGGCAGCTGTCTTCCTCCGCCTATGCTGCTTTGGTCTTTCTTTTCCCGTCCCTCCTGTTGGCTTAAGAGTCTGAGTAAGAGTACGGGAACCAAGTGTGGTTGGGGTCTGATCTGAGGAAGGACTGAAGATGCATTTTCCCAACAGGAATTTTTCTAGTTTAAGTTTTTTAAGGCTCCCAGTGATGGAGTTTGTACCACCTCTACTGTTGATCCATGTTTTCTGTTCATCGCTAGCAAATCCCTTTTGGATTTCAGGTGACCTGAGAGGAGACAGGGAATATGAGATATTCAAATGCGGCGTATTCTCTGCCATTGTGCCTCTGGCATTATCTCTCAGCCTGAGTGGGCACATAAGTTGCTCTACTGCCAGAGCAGAGCAGCCCCAAACCCCACTTCCAATTTCCAAGCAACTGTTTGATATGTGAAAAAGCCTAAATAAGCCTTTTTGTAACAGTGGAAGAAAATGGTTTGGGATATGCTGGAGCTGATGCATGAAATCATGGTCTGTTGCTGTGATGGTGAGTTTGTGTCAGTACTGTGAGTGTCTCAAAGGCAGCTGAAGGTCTGGAAGAGGCTGCTGGCAGGATCTGTTTGTCACATTCACTTGGTGTCACGTGTTCATCCCCTTGTATACTTGTTGCAGCTCTTGTATTTGATAGTGCCTCCTTTTCTTTGGAGGGGTTGTCTGTCTTCAGAGGGATGCTCTTGCAGTGAAAGTCCCAACAGGACTGACCCAAAAAGATCAACAGTAGCATTAACTTCCTTGGCAAACGTAATTCTGCATTTCCATTTCTTAAACCGTGGGATATTTTTTTTTTTTATTCCAGGCATTTAAATAGAGACTGCATGGTGTAGAACTGGATAAACACCAAATTAATATTGTTCACTTGAATTTTCCTTAGCATTGCTAGATATTTATCCCCATAACCAGTGAGACTCCAGCCACTTGATAGGTTAATTTCTGTAGTGAGTAACTCTTATTTTATCTCCCTAGTGAGTCCTGTAATTGGTGTTAAATGTAACATGCATATTGTGCATGCACAGATGCTGAGCATGTGTTCACAATTAAAAAAAAAAAGAGAGAAAAAGAGCCTTTAGCACGAGAACAAGATATGCTTTGCTTATAACCAGAGGGTTGCACTCTGACTTAGGGAGAGCTGTTCTCTGGTGAACAGAGCCAGCACTGAGTCCGCTCCAGGTTGTGCCCGTTTGCCACCCTGGGCAGATCTTGCTCTTCTCTGCTTTGCTTGCTTTTCTGCAAAATGGTAACCAAGCCCACTGTGACAGAGCTGTTTGAGATCTCCAGCTCCACAGTCTAAAGTGGTGCCAGTCACTAATATGGGAGAAGCAGAACTTGCTTGGACAGCAGATTGCCGGGTGCAGAGCTGTGCATGCTGAGAGCTGGGGTTTGATGCTTTATCCCCTTAAAGCTGCCTCTTAAGTGGCTGAACTTCATGCAGATTATAGACAGCCCTCCAACTCCTGATTTACTGTCGATGCAGCGCTTTGTAGGATGTCTGCCTGTGCTGTAAAGAGCCAGGGTCATTTTGCCTTCAAACCTTTATGTTCGTTTGCGCTGAAAATCCACTGGGCGTGAGAGCTCTGTGCAGCTCACCGTGAGCCCGTGCGTTTAACGGGAGCCGGGCGCTGTGGCTGGGAGCCAAGGAGGCTGGCTTTAAACCCAGGGCAGAGCAGTAAATCTGTAGGAATGGACAGGCTTGGGTTGTCTGTTATGTAAGGATTTTATTTAATACTCTAGCCACTCATCTACGAGAATATTATTGATTCAAGGCTGGCAGCCGGTCAGACCGATTTATGTCCTGAATTGTGAAGCTGTTTGCTAAGCACTGGATATCCACAGTTTTCTGTAATACCTGGACTGCTTTGGGCTGTTCCAGCTGGAGCTGTACCCCTCTGTGTAATCACATTGGATATAGGGGGGTCTGACCCCAGGGGTCTCTTCTGCATGGTTCAGGGCCTTGTCCCATCACTGTGCTTGCTCTGAAGTGTGATGGAGGGCTGGGGCCTGAGTGCTAGCTCGCCTCTCCTGCAGGGTGTCCTCGGCTCCGGGCACCTCTAGGTTTGGCAGCCTGGGAATAAACGCCTGCTCCGTCAGTCCTGAGTGCTGCCTGACCCAAAAGGCTGGTGAGCAGGGGCTGCTGGTGTCCCTCCCTCCCTGTCTGACTGCTTTCAAGTGGAAAGTCCAAAGTCTGGCCTTAGCGGACAACACCCTGCCTTGTTGGGGTTGATTAGGGACTCACCAATGTTTTAAAACAAACCAAAATGTTCCTGCTAAGTTATTTCATGTACATGGAGTAGGAAGCCTCACATAGTTGTGGAAGCCCAAAA